TGTTTAAAATTTGTCATCAAATACATTAAAGTTGAACTTGAATTGAATTTGGCAAAGCAGTATTAGTACCTATTAGGGTCCAAGTAATAACTGCAGTTGGTATTGTAATTAATTAAAATTTAGCAGGATGTTTTTTCGAAACTAAAAGGCAATGATTTCAATTTAATTTATCTATAAAATGTAAATAAGCCCATCGCAGCGGCAAATCATAATATTTCACATGTCGAGCATTTATAACTATTGACGTTTTTGACTTCATATGCTTTATGCGCCTATGTGCCGCGCTGCTGCGAATGGTGTGAGGCAGACCCCGGCCGCCCCAAAAGTATACACACAACGCGTCGATCCGTCTATGTCGCGGGGAGGGCGGCAGTAGGTATATGAAATTCGTCGCGCGCTTGTGTTTGTGCAGCGAGCGTGTGTACCCATTAGTATCGAAGCCCCACGCGGTTGTCAAAGGGCCCCACCCGCGCCGATCCTAGCCGCCGCGCCCGGTCCCCAAACAGCCGAGCGCCGATCCCCGATGACCCCCGGTCCCAACACACCGGCCCCATCCACCCACGCACGCTCGACGCGAGCACTGGCGTGAGGCACGCACACGGACGGACAGCGGACGGACGAAAACCGCGGACAAACGCGTGCACACACACACATATTCAACCCACATACGCACGCATACAATCATATTGTTCCGAGCGATGGACGCGCGAAAGGTGCGCTGATGCACTCGAACACAAAGGCACTAAATTCACGTGCATGCCCGAATTCAATTCCATTTATATGCATTTCACCGCGCGGCGCCGCTCATCGCGGTATTGGCTCGACTGTTTGTCTCTCGTTGCGCATTTGAAGATCATCGGGTGACGAAATTAAAAGAACTAAGTTGAATTGTGGAAAACATGATGCCATCCGTCAATGTTTGTTCAACATACACGTAACTTTACATAGTGTCCCATTGACATTATTCCTCTGCAATTTCCGGTTAAACTGGGGTAAATTGGTAGTGGTGTATTAGATCAGTTGGTACAACGTTAAAATTAATTAATTATGCAAAAACAATGCACGGAATACATGCATTTGTGGACAATGATTTGTTTATTTAATTCTGGATTGAATATGCAAAGATTTTTGCGCAAATGTCCATGAATTACACAGCAAGTGATTCCGTGATCCCATTGACACTTGTTGCGATATTTTTTATCGACGCATTCAGCGTTTACAACCACCCAAGCCAACTGTTCGCCTCTTATGAATCAATTTGAACGCCGCACGCTTTGCAATCTTGCATATCGCTGGTTTAGTTTTTTTCTGTGTTTACTACGCTAGGTGATGAACGACGTGCTTACGCTGACTTGGGCGATAATTTATAGCGTTAAACAATAAAACTAATTCGCTGGTTTGTCTAACGTCAGCGATGGAAACGGCGAAATCGTTTTTATTCAATTGCACCGAAACAACGTCAACTAAAGATACATTTCGAGTATTTTCGGGATGATTTACGGCGAACGACTTCTACTATTAACAGCGATGACAAAGGAAAAATAGATTTTTCCATTGCTCCACCCTTACCCTCGACGCAAAAAGCAACTAGCAACATTCCTTATCCCGACTTCTCAGTAGATTTCATATAATTCCCATAACAGCGAGGAACACGCACACAGCGCGCGAAACATGGAAAATATGAAGAGAAAAACCGAGCGCGGGCGCGCACACACAAACGGATAGCAAGAGAGGGTTTTTGCGAGGACGAACGCCCGAGCGGCGAGAGCCAAGGGGTAGCTGCTGCATTGGTGGCGCGGCAGCGGCGAAAAAGGAACGGACGGACTGGGGGAAGCAAAAAAGAAAACCAAGAAATCTCCAGTGTCACTGTCGGTAATGTGTTTCGCCGTACGTGAGCGCGCGTGGGCGGGCGCCTTTTGTGTATGTGTGTGTGGGTACACGAGCACGGCGAGAAGCCCTAGATATTTTTTGCTCTATTTCGTCCTTCGTCCTGGCAACCCGAAGCGTCCCCCTCGTGCGCGCTGCACTGACATGTGAGTAGTGCGGCAGGCGGAGCGGGCGCGGGTGTTTGCGTGTCTCTCCTATTCTCAGATCTCTGCGGGCTACGAGGCTTATCACCCCTCGCCGGCACACTCCCCCAACGCGTTCTCCCCCCGCCCGCTGGCGCGCCGGTTCTGTTTGCGCCGCCGCCGCCACCCACCCGAAACCGAAACACGCCGACACCGTCGACGTCAACGCTTCTTACCCTGCAGCGAACGCCGATAGAAAATTAGTATGAACAATTCAATAGATCTTTGTTGCCAGATTTCTGCACGAACAATTATTATTTATACCGTGCTGAGTCGAAGCTACCTGTATGAGTGTACACGTTGTCGGAGTAAATAAAGAGCGCAAAAAGTAGGTGAATCCACGCTTGATTGAGATTTGCGAGCGGCGGCGCACTCGTGCACTTGCAAGCGCTGACCCTAATTGTCAGATTACTCATTTAATGGCTGTTTGTTACACTTCAATTATCCCCGCGCTTAAAGGCTGAGCATTTACGTTCATTCAATAGACCGCTCCATCTTCCATCTAGACACAGGTGCAGGCGAGCAATTAAGCGAATAAATCAAACGTACAATTTTAGCTCCGCGTTTGTTGTCCATGTGATGTGCCTCAAGCGATGTTGATTCCTCGCAGCTTGCCACTGCTATAGTACCGGGGCACTCATAGATTATAGATAAAACATGCGCCTACGTTGTGAAGGAAAACTTTTCTGTCTTCAACGGAAAAGGAGGGTTTTCAGAGTTGGACGGACTCGCTCCTCCTTTTGCGCTCCTTGTTATCTCCGGGAGCTCGTTACCTACCAAAGGCCCCAAGAGATACAACTTTGTCGGACCCTCTTTACTCGCGACGGCTTCAACCATCCAGCGATCACACGTCGGGGGCGAAGCGCACAGAAGATGATGATGACAACCGACATAAGCGACCCGCAGTCGACCGCTCCTATATTTCCACTCAAATGGATTCGGTACGCAAACACACGCGTGTGTCCCTTTTCACACACATTCAGCCAAACACATGCAAACCTACCGGAAACGCACAGCGTTGATAAGTAACGCCTTATTTATTAATTCCCAAGTTAGAGGTACGAGAAACTAGAAAGTTTCGTTGGCCCAATTTAGCCCCGCGCGAAGAAATCGAATAAAATTGAAGCAGACGAGGAAAAAACGTGACGTCAGTGCGGATGATGGAAAGCCCAGAGGGTATTTCTTCGAGGACAAAGGGTTGTTCGGGGACCGACTCGTACGCATCGCTTGGAATGAGTCTAACCAACACCCTTACCCTAGAATATTGCCCCGCGCATGAAAAGCAAGAGGCAACTCTTAACTATATCCCGCAGGGAGGAAGACTCTAGCCAAAACAACCCGCCAGTCGAGTTTGGCAATTAGCGAGGGCATATTGGATATATCCTTATAGATTTAAAATAGTTTGCCCAATTACCGCAAGTAAAAACCGCACGAAACATATCCTTACAGCCAATATGCTTGGAACAAAGGATATCATCATAATCTTTTTTTATTTTTCGCCTCGCTCGTATTTATTTCCACCCTAAACACAGGCGTATAATATTTTTAACAGAAATACGACGAAATTTTATGACGTTGCATGTCGGCCGGTTGGTAGGTTTGTGTTTTGGACGTTTTATCATTCGCCCACTGGCGAACAGACCACCAAGGTGCACTAACATCGTAGTTGTCATATGCCGCCGACCGTGTCATAGAGCTTATTAACCATGTTATCATCTATAAAATAATATAGTTATATAACATTAATGTTGCTGCTAACACTTGCACATGCGGGGAAGAATGACACCCGCTGTAAAGAGGAGAACTCGCGGTGTTCATTTTCGTTTTATATTTCGGCGTTGTTAGCGTTGTATCATCATTATGTGTAGGAGCAGGAGTTACTTTAGTATACTTCAAATATTATAGCAACTTTTTTCGGGTGTTTGCTTTTAAAAGTTGATATTTTCCAAAGGAAAAAATAATATTTAGCAAAAAAGTTTAATTTTCAGATTTGGTACTCGTACTTCAAACAAGATGTACACGATGATGTTGTGGGATTTTAGAGTATTAGACTTTACTTTACAGATAAGTAACCCGTTTGAAGAAGTTAGAACCCAAACTCTCCCTCGCTGTTTGCAACTAAATTTAGAATGTCGAAGCAAAAGTGAATTTGTACCCATTAAATACGCCCAGCCGGCTTCCAATTTCACGTGACCGAAGAGAGGGAGTCAGAAAAGTTAACGCATACCCTTCTTCTTATTTCTCTACTCAAATTTCTACAGCATGCATAGACATATGTCTTTTATCCCGATAGTTTCTAATTAAAGTTGTGCTTCTAATAAATGTTAATAGTATAAAAACTGCAATAACCAAAATTTTGTAATTTCTGTTATCTAAGATTATTTTTGTCCACCCTCACATGCCCTTAATAATAGAGCAATAAACCGTCATCACAGCACGCCGATTTTAGGGTCAATTTTCAATATTTGTGTGCACGAGATTGATTAAATTGGATTATACGACGATGAGATTGTGTTCGAACCGTGCGGACGTCCTACGAGATGAATAGGTTGCGATTTTATGTCACTTCGAATTACACCCTTTGTGCCCTTCCACGGTCGGAGCACGACACTCCCGCCTTTGGAGCTGGTAGTGCATATTAAATGCCGTTTTGTTATGAGCGATCATTCTTTAATCGCAAAACACCGGATGCCATTTGAGGAATTAGGCCTAATATGCGCGCGGACCCACGGCGACAGCTAACCGCATAAATCCATTACCAAATTTGAAATTTGACAAATTCACTGGAATATGCATGATGCCATCAGGAGCTCAAGGCAAAGCAAAGCCCCTCACATATCATGGATATAATATTAACGCTCTCAAGTATGTGGATTTCACATATCAGATGATAATAATATTCAATGCTAAACTATTGTCCTTTATTCAGATCTAGGGTGCGTTGGAAAAAAATAAATGCATTGCGACTGTCACACCTGTGCATGACAACATCGACTGTGTAGCTTTCTCGTCTCGTGATGATTTTTTCGAAGCTCACGAGGGCCGCCGTTGGCTTTGGCGTGCGACACATTAGTGTCTCTCAGAAATTTTGCGGCCTCAACGACGGCAAGTATAAGTGGAAGCAGCAGTTCGCGCGGCTCATTGGCAACCGCGAGCAGGTTGGCTATGGCTGGTGCGGCCAGCCATGGTATGAGGACACAGCTTTGTTCCCATTCCCGGCCATCAGATACAAGGAGCCCACGCCCGAAATAAAGGCTCTTCGTGAGAAGGAGAAGGGCGACTGGAAAGAGTTGACCATTGAGGAGAAGAAGTGTTTGTATCGTGCAAGCTTCTGTCAAACATATTCCGAATTTCAAGCCACCACTGGTGCGTGGAAGACAATCGTGGGAGGTGCTCTCATACTGATATCGTTGGGACTCTGGCTGAATGTTTTCATGTATCACTTCGGTAAGGACCTGTCAAAGCACTCTGTTTTCGTGCGTCCTTGAGGTGTAATTTCATGACATGCCAATTCCATTTAGTATCTACCGTCGTGCTATTGTCATTAATTATGCCTGAAGGTTTCGATTCGGGATAATTATAGTTCAGTAGGTCCAGCATTAACTTGTTGTTTTCAGTTTACAGCCAAACTCCTGTACCGATATCGTTCGACGATGAACATGTTAGAGCGCAAATGCGTCGTCAAATTGATCTGCACACGAATCCGGTGACGGGCATCGCTGCCGATTGGGATTACGAAAAGGGCGATTGGAAAGAACCGAACAAGTGGAGGCAGCTGCCAAACCCTTTCATTGACCCTTGCACTGGCGAAACCGTTTGCAACAATTATCGCGAATAACTCTACCTACTATTGTATTTTGACGTATATATAAAATTAGTTTTTGGGACAAATAGAAAAAAATTGCCATTTTGATAATGATTGTTTTTCCCGCTGATAAATATATCAAGTTAATTAAAGAATTGGGTAAGTAATTAATTAATATTTTCTTATTGATTCCGAGAATGTTATTTTCTTGGATTCCTTGCAGAGTCCTGCTATTTTTGTCTTGCGGACAGTTAATATCCTTGTATGCGTCGGGTTCTTTTTTGTATCAAATAACAATCAATAGTCCAGAAGACGAAAAAAGATGGAATAGGGACCGAGGCGCAGTAAGCGATCCTTTGTTCGTACGAAGCGGACGGAAGCACCGCGGACGTATAAGGGTAGCACAAATACACCCTCTAGGAAACCTTATATTAGTGAGTGCCTGGCGTCCACGAGTCTCATTCACCCTTCCCGCGCGCGCCTTCGCCCGTCCACCCCGGCCGCTCGCAATACCGTTTCGAGTTGAGACCCTTGGAGTCCGATCCCTCGACCTCCACCTCGCTCACCCTACCCCGGAGTTCTCGCCGTTCCGCGCGCTCACAACTTCCATACACATTCGTACACCCACGCGCCGAGCCGCCCGACCGCGTGGAAGGAGGAGGCGAGGATGGAAGGATAGGAAACGGTCATTCACTCATCCCCTTCGGGCGCGGACGGTAGGTGGACACATCCAAGATAAGGGTTCAACATGATCCGTTAGCCGACGATGCTCGCAAGCCCGAGACCGAGGCCGGGCACCCGTGGGGTGAGTTTTGTGCAACCCTTATTGCGGTTGCCTGCTTTTACTCCGCCATCCCGGCGCAGCCGGCGCGCCGTACAAACAGCGAGAAACACATCTAAGGTTTATTTCAGTTTTGAGGCTTCGAAAAAGCCCGGCGACCCACCGGTCCCCGCGGGGCGGCGGGAGGTGAGTGCGGTTGGTTTTTAGTTATGAAGCAAAATGCGCCAAACCCGATTCTCGATGCAGGAAATATTCTCGCGTAAATGGTGTAAATGTAGAAATCTTCGGATGCAATTTTGGTCGCTTTGAAAGCGCTTCATGTCAAATGGCGATGAGGATGAAAACGGCGCAGTGGCGATATAAGTAAAATGCATAAAACGAATTGCATTTTTACGCCTCGCCCGCCGGAGTGATAAAAACAAGTAGTTGCAGTGTGTTATATGACGTACACCTCTAAACGGGCGTAATAATTCTTTTGAAATTATGCGATTTATTCCGCCCGACGTCGCGCAGGAAGGAGTACGCGCCGCGCTTGGAGAGATAGATGGACGTCCCTTTTTTACCGCCGAAGTCGTTACGAGCGCGCGCGGCCGTAAAGAAGGTGTAAGGGTGTAAGCTGAGCCGCGGGCGCGGCGCATATATGAACACATATTGACGTATTGTGAATTATTCGGAATCCGACAGTAACTCGCCGTTTAAGTGGCTGGCTGGGAGCGAGACAGCGTTTTGATGAGTTTGTGCTTTTACAGCGGTGCTTAGTTCTTAATGGTTGTCGATAACACATCACCCACCAACACATACGTTCACTCATACGTGCTGGTTTCGATTGCGCGACCGAAGCACAAACCGAGTGTGCCGGAATCGTTGGGTTTTTCTTCGAAAGTAAAAAAAAAATGGAATTTTTTTTCCGAAAAAAACTTTGCGCCGGCAAGCAAGCAAAGTTGTAACAAAAAGAAGAAAAGTGTGGAGACGCCCGAGAAACAGTTTTTATGATGTAGCGCCGTCAGCTTCAACGTCAAGGGGCGGCGGAGGTGTGGAGTGTGAGCGGAGAAGGATCCCCGGAGGGCCTAACCTGCCAGATATCCGAAACGAGGACTTTCTCGCTCTCTACTTCAAACCCGAGCAGGATGTGTACCGCCCGCCGCCCCTCGCCACCAACCCCTCGGCGCCTCGCCTAAGCTCCTGTGTGCCTGTCTGCCGCTTTCGCTTCTACTTTGCCGCTGCAATTTACTTGATGAAGGGTGGATGGGGAGTTGGGGACGACACGTACCCCTGCTCGCACCCTTAATGTTGCGACCCACCGCCCACCCGCAGATATACAGTGCGATATTGAAGAAGAGATAACCAACTTTTATACTTGCTCAAAAATTACGGAAATATATTCCGACGATAAGAAGACAAAAATTTCCTTGTATAATTACGCAATTTACAAAGAAAGAACCATCAAATTTGAATACTCACAATCAAATGGTTCGTGTTTATGTTTATGTAGGTGAAATTATTACAATTGTTATCTTGAACGCTATGAACTCATTCAAGAGTTAATAAAATGGAACCGAAAAGTACGAATCAATCAATCAGATATTCAACCGCTACCGTCACTGTTCGCGATGACAAACATATTTTCTGGTGTCGTGTGAACATCGAAAGAGGCGTACAATGCACCTATGTACGCACATGTGCCACAGCCGGATATTATTCTAGACAGAGACATGTGCCGTGTTAAAGCAATACGGTAACCATGCGACAACAAGGACATAAATTAAATTGTATGCTGTTTTAGGTCCGGCTGGACGGACACGTGCCCGCTAGTCCTGGCGTGTGGCAGGCTACGCAGGTAGTAGTAAGTCTTCGGCCGACCGAGAGCTTGTTATATTTTCACTCACCCTCTCTGCCGTGGCGAGGTACGCCAGCCAGCGGACGGACGGACATTCGGCTCCACGCGGCTCGGGGCAACACACTATTTGATCGATAGTGTCCACCGCAAAACTCCCCCTATAACACACACGACGCGCTAGTGCCGGGCGTTACACCCCTGATACCCGCTTTTATGAATGCGAGCATGGAGCGCCCACCCCCGCAACTATCAACACTTAACTAATTTAAAACATCGGCACATTCTATGGCGTGTGGACCCTTCGCTCGCACACACAATCTTGGTGTGTTTTGCTCTCGGAGAAACTTTTCCCAACTATCGTTATTATTATTATACGAATATCGAGTTTCGCCTTTGCACCCCCTTACCGTCCTAGAGGGTGGTAGAGTGGTTGAGGGTGGCCTGGATAGCCTGTCAATCGGATATCCGGAGCTGGGTTTTAAGCGGACTCCCTTGAGAATCGAAATTCGCTATTTCAGCTGCTGGCAGACTTTCCGTCAAAAATGTACGTACCTATTTCAACATTTCTCTGCGCGCTGCAGGAAGAAATATAAAACGTAAACAAACTGAATAAATTATTCTGTTAGTTGCTCACCTCAAAAATGTCTAATTGATTATTTATTTATCGAGAGGAGCAGAGACGAGACCTGGCTATGATACATTCAGAGCGCAGAAATTGCGCAGCACTCAAAAACAGACAACGTCTGCGTCTGCAGTAGGTGCACACAACTGCTCGGCTGGCATACGGGCGAAGGCGCGCGAAGAAGAATAAAACGACGATAAGATATCTGTCCGTAGTATCCAAGAATAGCGAGAAGAGTGTGTGCGAGTGTCGCACTGGCACCGCTGGCTGCTGAGGTGCAGCCACCAGCCAAGGCAGAGAGGCAAGGTTACTCCACAGTCGTTTTTATCCGCTTTATAGTTGCAGCCGGGCGCGCTTCTCTCTTGGAAGCCATTCGATGGGCGGAAAGAATACAAGACGGTCGCTTTAAAGTTGACCTCGTTGCAGCGTGAAATATAGGAGCGGGGGGCGGCGACGATCCGAAGCGCACCGTTCTGCGCCCCATTCGTTTTAGTGTATTTTGCAGCAAGTGCATACTTTGGACGTCTTTTTTGAGCGCGAGCAAGGGAGTTTGGAGATTAGAAAGAAATGGAGCGTTGGTACGTGCATGTGCGCTCGTCCGCCTCCGTCGCCGCCGCCGCCGCCGGTGACGGCAATAGTGTTGGATAATATTGAGAGTAATTCAGGTTTATTGGCAATAATCGCGCTAGATATGGCTTCTACAGACATGCTCCGACTCGGATAGCAATTTTAGTGGTGCACTATGACTGCGATGCTTACTGCCGCTTACGGCCCAACCGCCCCCGCCTCTACGCTCGCACGCCGGGAGCGCAGCCAAACCGGGAGGATGGCTTTCATATAAAGGTGTATTATTATTTTCCCAAAGTACACCACCACCGTCGACGCCAGCGATGGCGGCGAGGCGCTTTTACGCTTGTCGCATTCGGGCACACATTCATGTGTTCGTGCGAGTCGTATTAAGTTGAACGTAAATCCGCTTTTGTTTTAAATTTTTGCAACGCGTTGGAACCAAACGAACCAAAGAGGAGAACTTCCTAGTGCGGTGGGAGTTTTTTTTTTGTTTATATTAGCGCATTATGCAAACTTTCATTACTATCATGCCTTTCATATGACCGTACGCTCATTGCGGTTATTCTCTTAATTATGAACTAGAACGAAAACAAAACCGTAATAGTGGTGTATTCAAATCTCATTTGAATAGGATGATATAAGGCTGATTTGAGATGAGTTCTATTTCTATTCCTCACCCTTTATATTTAGAAGAACACGTGTAACGGCCCAATCTCTTTCGAGAGACACATAACGTTCATATACTGTGGGGTAGATTGATTAGTGGGGTGTCGGGGGTGAGAGACAAGTATTGCAGTGTATTCTCCCGCAAATCACGCATAGGGCTATAGACGTGCTTTGAACGTTAGGCATGAATTTTGAAGACAACAATATCACCCCTCTTAGATAGGTGCGTAGGTGCAATCACGCGATAGTTCTCTGAAATTGATTGAGTTGCATTATAGTTACCGCCTCAGACACATGAAAGTGACGTGCAAAATAATTCAAAGCGCTTTTGACTGAATCACCATTAAAAATTGATAACATAATAATGTAGTTTTGTTTTGAAGATACGCAATCTAGCCTGTTCCAATGCTAGTGGATTATAGGTTGAAAATGAGTAGAAACGATTTGTCTGCGAGTTTCGGTGTTGTTGGCAAGCGACCAAAACAGTATTCCCTAACCGTGAACCCACACCCTCCCATCCACCTCAAACCCGGGCGCACGAACAAAAGGAAGGAACATCCATCTTTAGCCTCGGTCCAAAGGACCTTATCCTCCGCCCGCACTCGCTCGCCCGCCAGAGCACTCATGATTCATCCGTGTTCGACCGTTAGTCCGTCCGAAAACTCGCCTGGCCGTCCTTTCGGGGGCTCAGGCCAGATGAGTATCCTTTATATCCCTCGCGTCCGCCGGTCGCGTCCTTTCTTGACGTCCGTACGTATCTCTCGCCCTCACCGCGACCCATCGCCTCACCCTCGCACGCCTCCTCACCTACCTACGCCCGAAACGTATCAGACCGGAGGAGCTCTTATATCCTGCAGGATACGCACGCACACGCGGGGCGAACGCGCCGGACGGACGGACCTAAACTTTCATAAACACGAAGCCAGAGGGTTTAGGACCGGCCGCTCTTGGGTCGAGGACTCTTTCTCGAATTCCCTCCCGCTTGAAGCTCGTACCCTTTTCGCGCACAAATATTTAAGCCCCGAATCAATAACGTGCACCGATTTCTCTTCATTTATACTCGGGTCCAACGCGAGCAATGAAACATTCACGCTGGCTGTCGTCGGGATGAAGTGTCAAGGTGTCATAACAAGTCCGCGAGCACGCAATTGATGCGCTAATCATCCCGCGACGTGTTGAATTATTGAGGAGTGTGTGCCACTCCCAGGTGGAAAACATTCCGTCAATCATTACACATAACTGTCAATATTGAGGTCTTGGTGGGCGCGTGTGACGGGCCAAAGTAATAAATTTATTATCGCCGCTGCAGGAAGTTGTTGCGGAGTACGGTGCTTTGATTAAAGTTTGAGTTTTCGGATGAATATCGCTCCGACGCCGAATTTTGATAAAATTGAGAGACACGGGTATTAGGGTTAAAGGGTCGGGTTCGGACAGCGGCCGAAGGGATGCCGAATTACTCTTTGCGCGTGTTTGCGGCCGAGCTGTTTGTTTGGGTTTCATATTCGAGAAGGAGGCGACTGCGAAGCTGTTAATACCCTTCAGACTGTCCCATCGCATACATAGAGATATAAATCCGTAGCAAGGGAAGAAAATAGTTCACCTTGCCGGGGAACAACCCAAGTGATTTGAGGCCAGAACTCACATTCACAATTAATACGAAGCTTAGTGCTTCAATATAGAGGTGAAAATCAAATAAAAACGCACGCCGAAGAGTAAATAAAATAATGAGTTAGTTTTATTAGTTGTGTAAATAAATAAAATAAATAAATAATAAATAAATATTAGTGCTTGTGTGTTAATAGAAGTAGTGTGCCATCGCCTCGCGAATAAAATGATCAATGAGCGTACTCACGTTCTTGTTCTCGAGCTTGAGCGCGTCCTCGTCGGTGCAGCCAAGACTGCGCATGTATTTCAAGTAGGTGGTGGTGATGGGCATCGAATAGTCAATCCCGCCGGCCATAAATCCCAGCCGCCGATGGTTCTCGCTGCGCTCGCGTTCTATGCTCTCCACTGGCGACCAAAGTTTAGGGGTGGATGTGATTGCATCTCCGTTGCGGCGCGCCGGCTGCTGATCTGATAAATGATTGAGATGTCGCTTTTTCGGCGGCGTCTTTGACGGTGGCGGCGGATCCGCGGACGTCAGTAGATTGCAAACGTCCAACGGATTGCTCGATCGCTTCGGTTCAAGGGTTCGGCTCTTTGTTAATGGTTCGACGGTTTTGCTGTGACTTTGAGATATTTCCCCATTTTGTTGCCGCTGCAGCTGCTGGTGGTGCGGCGGGGGCGGGGTGACGGCAGCATCGTTCTCCTTTGGCGTAGATAAGGCCGCCGGGTGGGATAAGTCGACTGGGGTGGCGGTTCGGTGAGGCACGGGCGTGTGTGAGGGCTCTGCGTCCGGCGCGGGCGCCGGGGTGGCGTGAGGCAACGAAGGTAATGCTGTGGCAGAGGCAGTGGCGGCGGGCGACGCAGTCGGCGCCGCTATCAGCGGCAGGGTGGGACTCGGACTCGGCGTCGGCAGCACCGAGACGGGCGACGGGGAGCGTGGATGCTTCTGACATTCGGTGCAACCCAAGAGGAAGCGAGTGACGGCTTCCCGCGGCAGGAACGCGTACGTCTCCGTTATCTGCAAAACGAATGCGAAACAATTGCTTGTATAGTTGTTACATTGTCAACGGGAGGTAGAATTGCGAATGGCATTTCAATAAATGCACCTCGCCCCACACACCCGCACACACCGTGGAGGCCTTTTTCCAACGTCGTCTTTTATACTCGCGTTAACGTGAAATGAAATGCTGCGTGAAAAACGAGCTGGGCTGAGGGACAAAAGCGAATTCGATGAACGACGGTGCAACAAAAGCGGTCGAAATATTGACAATCAACAGGTGCTTCGTGCGAAATCCACCGAATGTCAAGTAGAAGCGCCGAAATACATTTACCCAGCGCATAATCAACGCGCCACTCCTTCCACGTCAGACGTTATTATTCTCTTGTTTCTACTTAAACTTTTAAATCGAAGTTTGCACTTACCGTTCGGTAGGTACGCTTTTGTCCGGCGTGTTTCCCGGGTCGTCCCTCCAACTCCACGTGTACATTGTAAATAATATCGAAAAAATTCTCGACCATCGCCACCTTTCGATGCACTGCTTCGCCATTTGAATTCTGCAAGCACAAACACGAAAAGAGAACTTTAATGGTTGAATATAAAAGTAATGAAGCGTTTTTAATTTCCCACTTTATAACTAACGCATAAGAAAGAACTTCATGAACGTGCCTAATCCTCTGTATAGTTGACCTACATTCACCGCAGCTGATGGTATTGGTGAGCGGCGATGCGCACGTTTTTCCGCGTGCATGTAGCTGAAGCGGGGAGTTGTTGGAGGAACGCCGTTTGTTAAAATAGCGCACTGGGAATCGTAGGAAATGGCGATGGCAGCAAACTATATATCTATATAGGTAGGGGTGCGGAGACGCTTGGGATGCGAACTAAAAAAGGACGAAACACCGACCCGACGCAGCCCCGGATGATTCGGCAGGAACAGCGAAGAACTCTGCTGGATGTGGGTAAAACCCGACGGTCGGGGCGGGTAGCGAAAGCCCTCTTAACGCAAGGCGTGGGTAGAGGTGGAGGTGACCGAGGCGGCGGTTTGGGAGCGCTAGGACGGATCCGACCTTTCCATCTCCAAGCCATATCACCGAGCCGGAGAGGCACAAAGGAAAAATGGCTCCCTCTGGCGCGGCCACAGGGTTACTATGGTTTTGTGCAGATAAAACCCGAATGTACGAAAACCCATTATTTCAAGCGACCAAAAATGCCGTGCCGAAAACTAAAATGCGAAGAAAAACTCTCGCTCTAGACTTCCGAAACTATGAACTCAATTAGGCTAACAATGCCACGGCGAATAAATACGTATGATATCGCTGTAGGCTAAGCGAGAGCGCAGGTGAGCGAAATTAAATTCGATTTCGTTCTTTTGATGACTCATCCCCCTCTCACGCTGCGGCGTCGTGTCGAGCGCGCGTAGGAGCACCTCGCAACTCTCCTAATAACTAAGTCTGAGAGCGACAGCGGGGGCGGCGGCGGCGAATGCCAAATGAAATAAGAACCAAACGTTCGTCGTCTCGGGCGCTGTCTCTTTGCTTCTTCTTTGCAGGCTTACAACTGTGAATCGCGACTCTTTAATATTGCGACTCCGAGACGTCACTTTCGAAGGAAACCCTAAGCCGGCCGAGAAAAACTGCATTAATTAGTTTTAAGGTAAAAATTTTCCTTCAAAGTGCGAGCGCTCGTTTGCTGCTTCGCTTGTTTCCCTCGGGCTAGGCAGTCCGAGGTTTTTATATAAAATGTTTCAGCTTTGAAAATGCTTTGGCGTTGTTTTCAGTACTTACCGATGCAGCAGAGTATTCTTTAGAAAAGACGGTTATTATTCACGCACCGAAAAAAGATTATTTAAAAGAAAACGTGGAGAGTAATTTTCTCAACTAATTTTGCGCTCGTTAGGTTATATGCACATGTATCGACTGACAAAATAACACGATAAGAATATCATAAACACCTTGACAATCCAAGCAATGCGCTTAAAAATCAAAACAAACAAAACCGAAGGCAGCGCTGGTTATTTGCGTCCACCGAGTTCGCTGTCCGGTTGACATTCGCAATTCCATCAACGCACCAAATTTACATTGTAGTCTTGAATTGAAATACAAACGGCGTTACATTTTGAACATGTCGACAAACTTTGCAGTACTCAACAACCTAATGACATAATTGTTTATGTAGACAACAAAACCTCATGCTCTTTACATAACGAGTCCAGTTGCTTAATTTAAATTCAAATAGATCAACATGTGGTTATTTGTTTTTTAAATAACTGTGTAGTATCAACAGGTCCCTTTGCGTTTCGGAGATTCCCTTTTCCCAATTTACTATCGCACGTACGTGTTGGAGCGTTACGGCCGTTCACGGACACCCCGAAATAAGGGAAATAAAATATATTCGGCTAAATAAGAAATTGCGTAACGCGCAAGCCCGCTTTGCAACGATCCAGGAAAATCAGGACAATGCCTACTGCGCCATCTACTGGCGACTTGATACAAGTAACGTTTCCTACTGAAGAGAAACGAGGAATATGGCTAGTGAACATTATCACCCATAGACGGCGCCAGCAGTACACACATAAGCTTATGAAACTAATTCAACAAAGTTTCAAATAGTTTTCAAAGTATCTCAGTTCACGTAATAAACACATACGCACAAATCAATACATTACTCTTAGATTTGTCTGAAATATTAATTATTATGATAAAGTATTGATATCAGAAGATAGTTTAAGATTTGCGATATCAAGACAAATTTGGAATTGTGTTCATAGATGTGATAATAAAATCAAAAATCAATGCCTTAAATAAACTTATTTCCAATAAGATCAAATCATATTCGGACAGTAAGTGGACGTTGGTTTTGAGATAGTGGCGATGCGCGGATCTTGCACCTCGCGTAGTTACTCGGATCATAGACTGACACCTGTTGCGCTCGACCGCACCACTCCGTTTCCGCTTTCGACGGCGGATGCATTCACATCCACACACAAACACACACGAGTAAATTCACGTCGTCCGCTGGCTCCAATCGGCCGGCGTTCGCTGATGATCAGGGCGAGAGAGCTTTTACATCCCGAACTCGATCGCAGTTCAACACCGCGGCGGTTAGTCGGCACTTACGCGGCGCGGCTTCACTCTCGCACGCCTATCATTAGCGCGGTGTGCGCTTCGCTCCTACTCCCAGGTACCAGACTTTTTGTATGCTAATATCGATCCTCATTTAAGAGATAGCCATCACTCAAGCACACCTACAGTTGCAAAATTTCCATTTCCTTGTTGGTCGGAAGATGCAAAGTTTAAAGCTGACCGAAATTAATTTAATTTTGGTATCCCAGGTGGAGAATTAGAGATTACCTGTAGAGCGCGCCGGAGAGAAGCCGAACGTAAACTACAGGTCCTAACGGATGCGTAATCCGCTCGCCGTCAGTGCGGCAACCGCGTTTTGCAGCCGTCGTCGCGTTTGCCTTCTTGCTTGCCGGCTGCTTGCGAAATGTGAAAGCATCATCAATGTGATTAGGAGAGAATCTCCACCATTTCTATATCCAACGCACAAAAATTTACGTAGACATAATAATAAGTTATTTATAATCAAAAATATCGAAATGAAATGATGAATGATGAATGTAATTGTGTAACCATAGTGTTGGTACTTGAACAGTGTAGTTGTTTATCAATCGGCGTATAGTTAATTCAGTCCACCGATGGCGTGCTGTGCGCCGCCGACCGGTGACCGGTGCCGTAAACGAGTCTCGTTTTGCGCGCGCGGGCTGCCCAGTCGCCTCTCCTCTCTAATTGATGCCGTAATCACATATCTGGCGTCAGATCCGTGCTCACGGCTTTCCGTGCCGTCGTCGTCGCCGCCGTTCCAGCAAACGTAACCGCACTGCCGCCTCGGCCTGCATTTCGTGTCGGCCGCGCCCGCACTCCGGCCATAATGTGCCACACATTGCGGCGCAACAAAGCGACGCGACGACGGCCGACAGCCGACTTTATTTCGTTATTGCATCCCATCGGCCTCATCATTAAAACCACTCGCAGACTTCCTGTCGCCGACGTCGGACTCATTCCTACGTAGGTCGCTCGACTTATTAGACGCGATTCACTTGCTAATTGAGTTCGCAGCGGAGGAAAAATCTTATTTCCTCAATATCCACATGCTAGTGCTCGCAACCCTTGCGGTTGAATCTCGGAGAGAAAGTTCCGAGTCGGGACGGCTGGGATGGCGCGGGTTTGGGTTTGGGTCAAGAGTCGAGCGGGCGCCGGAGGCCGGAACACGCGCGGTGTTGTTGTTCGCTACGTGACGCGGCTGTAAAACGCGGACGCGCTCCGTTTGCGGGGCTGCCGAGTTCCTACAAAGGCCCGGTACGGTGTGGGAGCGGCGCGTCGGCGATTGGAGATGCTTTTGCTCGAACCGCTGCGCACTACACCGCACCGCGCCGAAACACAAAGGAATTTCTCGGTGTAATTGAGTGGAAGTGAGAATTTCACTTCTTCGCGCCGGCGAGGAGATTAACGACACGCGAAAAAATCCATTTCCATCGGGTTGAGCGCCAGCGCTACGCTTTTCACGCTTCGAGGAAACGAAAACTTTGTGCGCGGATAAATTGGATGCCAATAATCCACCAACTTTTCTACTAGCTACTACTAATCTTTTTATAATCGCCCAACAAATAATGCAAGTCAGGCGCGATTCGAGTTTTAACATTATTGAAATTATTCATGAAATGCAGACATATTTGTCAACAAAGCTATCTTAATAAAAGATTCTCATGAACTGAAACTTCATAAGGATTGCAAGCCGAGGAAATATATTGGACTTGATCCAACTGCACAAAGAAATGCACTTTGAGAGTATGGGAGGAAAACTACAATATAAATCTTTTACCCTAATCTGAATATGCGCAATGGGAATAAAATAATATCGATTTTAATTCGCCATAAAAAATACATCCCTAAATGGATTTCGATTTTAAAAATAAAACAAACTCATTTATTCGCAAACATAAACTATACTTAATCAATAAAATGCTTTAATGACTCAATCCATTAGCAATTTTCCCCGTTTGCTACTGGAATACAACGCAAAACAGGATGCTCGCACAGGATCGCAATGGAAGTGAGATAACAAGGGTCGCGATGACATGGCAAAGGATTACCGCTCCTCAGCATGCTAATTGCTTATTACCACCAAACCTGGCGCGTTGTTTGTGCACGACCGTGCACGAATCCACCGCCGATGTTCGCTTTACAATTCCGGTGATAATCATCACCTAGTTGCATCTGAGCGTACGCAGTAGTACACAACTAGGTAGGTGGAATCCCACAAGTTAAATTATTAAAACTTTGACTTGGAAATACAACAAGTTGTACACCACAGGTGAAAAATTCACGTCAACAGCATGTATTCGACGAAAAAGAGAAAATCTTAATTATAAATTTCACGCTCGTTATCCATGCACGCGCTCTGAATACACAATACGACACGATCACAAACCGAACAACGTCACATGCTCGTCGAGTGCGCGCATTCATAATAATACGCGATGTGCACGCGGCCCCGA